TTTTTCCATGTAAAAACTGTTTGTGTCGATTTATTATTTGTGAAACAACAATCTAAATCACTTTCGTATGTGCTTGATGATTTAGATTGTTAGTTTTGGTTATTTGTGAATTGTTGCAATTAAATCTATTAGGAATCACAAATCATAGTTTTTCAACTAGTATTAGTGCAGGTCACTCTTTGTTTTTAATAAAACTATAGGAGTGATTTTGTGTAATTTGTGTCATTGATTCAATTCGCAAAGGTAACTCGACTCATAGACCTCTTTTACTTGATGGGACAAACTATTCTTATTGGAAAGCTCGTATGAAGGCATTTTTAAAATCTATTGATGAGAAAGTTTGGCACTATGTCATCTATGGGTGGAGCAAACCAAGTGTCACCATTGATGGTATTTATATTCCTAAACCACTTGATAAATGGGACGCGATTGATTATCAAAACTTGAGTTGGAACATTAAAGCGCTTAATTTTCCCTTTTGCTCTACCACACCTAAAGAGTTTCGTCGTATTTGTACGTATAAGGTAGCAAAAGAGGCTTAGGACATTTTTGAAACAATTCACAAGGGCACTATTGCTGTTAAACGATCAAAACTTCAACGTCTCACCTCTTCTTTTGAAATTCTTTTTATGTGAGATGATGAGACGTTTGATGTTTTTTATGCCAAACCTAGTGACATTGTGAATTCCTGTTTCACACTCGGTGAAAAAATTCCTAAATCTAAAGTTGTTAGAAAAATTTTGAGGTCCTTACCCGATAGGTTCCAATCAAAAGTGACAGCTATAGAGGAGGCTTAGGATGTTGAGAACCTTAAGCTTGATCAGTTGGTTGGAAACTTTATGAAGCCCACCAGATTTCTAAGAAAAAACAAAAAGATAATGTGGCGTTTACTAGTGCTCATGAGACTTCTACGAACCCTGAGATTGAAATTGATCTAGAGTCCGAAATGAAGGCTATGTTTACTAAACAATTCAAAAAAAAATTTAAAGAAAAAGAAGCCTAATTTCAAGGACTTTAGTTCAAAAGATAATGGTAATGAAAAAACCAAAACTTTTCCACCAAAAGGTGCTCCGATAGAAGAGAAGAAGAATGTGCGTGGACAAGGTGTTAAGTACTATGAATGCCAAGGGTTTGGGCATATCGCACTTGAATGCTTGTCAAAAAAGAACCGAACAAAAGTCTACACAGTGACTTGGGATGATGAAAAAGGGTCAGAGAAAGAAGCTGAAGAAACCGAATCTGGTGCAAACGGAGATCGTACCTACATGGCATTCTACTCTTGTGTCACTCAATCAACTGCAAAGCCGGTTGAGTTTGCTCATGGGCATAGCGTGCATCGCACTCTTACTTTTGGTAGGAGCAATTACTTGTATTAGAAGTGTAGAATGAAAGTCTATCTTAGAGCCTTTGATTCTGAGGATTGGCGTACAATTGAGGAGAATGTTGAAGCACCATTTGTAATCGATTCAATCACCAGCTAAAAGGTTAACAAGTCGACTGAGGAGTGGAGTGCTGTTGAAAGAGCTATCATGGAAAGTAATGAAAGAGTTTTGAACATCATCCGTGATGCCATCTCTGAAGAAGAACAACAACGGATTGCTAACAGCAAGAATGCCAAAGAAGCATGGGATGTTCTTATGCAATTTCATGATAGAGGAGAGTCATCTTCACAACCATCCAGCATTGTTCACACCTTAGTTGCTTGGTTGGATGAACTCGAGGAAAAAGGGAACCCAAAAGAAGAAGATGAAACCTCGGAAGATAATGAAGAGAGTGATGGTGATGAACTTCAACAAGCCTACGAAAAGCTATATAGTGAATCTCTAAACCTATCCGAGATGAATGACAAACTCACTATCAAACTCAAAGCATGAGAGAGTGAGAATGTCAAGCTAAAGGAAAAGATTTTAGCAGCGAGGAAGGATGCCATCAAGATCTCAAGTGATAGACAAGATCTTTATTCAAAGCTCTCTGTGAAACCGAAAGGAATGAACTTCTGAAAATCTATGCCACATATGAAGAGAAGATGAAATCTCTTGAAATGACTCAAGTTGCACTGGAAGAGCTAGTTGGTCAGAAAGAGGAAGAATTCAAAGATGCTAGGGCCACTATTGATATGTGGAACAAAGGGTCAAAGACACTGGAAGACATCATCGGGTCTCAACAAATGAGTTGTGACAAAAGTGAGATAGGCTATGGTAAAGCAACACCTTAAAAGGGAAAGGCCTTTACATCACATGACATCAAGACTCAAGTAGAGGGAAAGCTGAAGGTTCAACAGGATGATAAATCTCTCCATCAACCTAAAGGGGGTAAGATCAACAAAATGAAGGTAAAACCTATTTTTGTTTGTCATCATTGTGGTAGGTATGGCCACATTCGCCCATATTGTTATGAGTTGTTTGGTATGGTGTCTCAAAAAATTTTAATACTTCATGGGCTAGGAGACAACCTTACATGTCTAGGCAGAATACCAAGATTCATGATGGTATTCACAACACTAAGACTTTTACTAAGACTGGTAGTCTCGCTTATGTTAAGACCAAAAAGATATGGGTAAAAAGGAGTGACCTAACTTGTTTTGTTGTTCACACTACACTGAAAGCACGTGACTCATACATGTGGTATCATGATAATGGGTGCTCTCGTCACATGTCAGGTGACAAATCCTACTTCACATCTCTTCAAAAATATAAAGGAGGAATTGTTACTTTTGGAGATGGCGGCCCTTCTAGAGTTATTGGTAAGGGCTCTATAAGTGTGGTCAGTCTTCCCAAGCTTGAAAATGTCTTACTTGTTGATGGCCTTAAAGCTAATCTTTTGAGCATTAGTCAAATGTGTGATTCTCATCATGAAGTATTATTTTCAAAAAATAAATGTGAAATTTTGGATAAAAAGGGAAATATTGTCATGCATGGGGTTCGCACACCTAATAACTGCTATGGGAATGTTACCACAAATGATCTCACTTGTCATTTAGCCATCCTAAGTAATCTTGACTTGTGGCATCGAAGATTAGGTCATATGAATTTCAATGACCTAACTAAGATTGCCAACAAGGAGATTGTGAGAGGAGTACCCAAAATGGATAAGAATGTGAACCATGTGTGTGGGCTATGTCAATTAGGGAAGTAAACTCGTGCCCCTCATAAAAAGGTGAATAGCTTAGCTACTAAGCATCCTCTTGAACTTGTTCATATGGATCTTATGAGACCCACTCATACTGAAAGCATTGGAGGTAAAAGATATATTTTTTTTATTTGTTGATGATTGTACTCGTTTTTCTTAGGTTAACTTTTTAAGAGAAAAATATGATACGTTTGATGCTTTCAAGTCATTAGTCCTTAAAATCCATAATGAACAAGGTGTTTCTATTAGGCGTATCATAAGAATCTGAACTGATCATGGTCGTGAATTTGAAAATAGCTCGTTCTCGGATTTTTGTGATATGCATGGAATTAAGCATGAATTTTCAGCACCCATTACTCCACAGCAAAATGGAGTTGTTGGGAGGAAAAACAAGGTAGTCCAAGAGATGGCTAGGGTCATGCTCCTTAACAAGAAAGTTCCTCTCAAGTTTTGGGCTGAAGCCTTAAATACCGTTGTTTATGTTGTTAATCGTGTGCATTTAAGACCCGGCACTTTACAAACTCTATATGAATTATGGAAAGGGTTGAAACCTAATGTAAAATACTTCAAAACTTTTGGGAGTAAATGTTATATTTTCAAAGATAAAGAGCCTTTGGGCAAATTCGACTCCCGAAGTGATGAAGAAATTTTTCTATGATATTCAACTATTAGTAAAGCTTTTCGTGTCTATAACTTGCATACTTTATCTTTAATGGAATCGATCAATGTGGTTGTAGATGACACAGGTTCTCCTACTGCATCTATACATGAAGAAGAAGAAAGTGCTCCTCAAATTATGGATACTGAACCACAAAGTCAAGGAGAAGCACAAGGCTAAGCTAAAGAAGGTGAACCGACACTAACTCTTATGGCAAGTCCTAGTCCAAAGAGTGCACAAAAAGACACCACCATCGATGCTCAAATCACTGCCAATCCTGGTTTGAAACCATCAGTAATGGTAAAACTGAACCATTCGGTTCAATAGGTGATTGGAAATGTCTCAGATCGAATGAAAACTTGAAAACAAATTCGGGAGGTGATATCTCATATGTGTTATGTTTCATTAATTGAACCTAAGAATATAAAAGAGGCCCTACTAGATGATAGTTGGGTCAATGCAATGCATGATGAATTAGGTCAATTTGAACGTAACAAAGTTTGGACTATTGTTCCCAGACCTAGAGACATGAATGTGATAGGTACCAAGTGGATATTTAAAAATAAATCTGAAGAGAATGGTACTATGGTTAGAAATAAAGCTAGGTTGGTTACTCAAGGCTACACACAAGTAGAGGTTGTTGCCTATGATGAGGCATATGTCCCGGTTGCACATCTCGAATCTATTTGTATTTTACTTGGTGTTGTATGCTTTCTAGGATTAAAATTGTTTCAAATGGATGTGAAAAGTGCTTTTTTGAATGGGTACCTAAAAGAAGAGGCTTATGTTGAGCAACCAAAAGGGTTTGAGGACCCAAAATTTCCAAACCATGTCTACAAGCTAGACACGGCTTTATATGGGTTGAAACAAGCTCCTCGGGCTTGGTATGATAGACTTACTACCTTCCTTATTGACAATGATTTTCAAAGGAGTAGTGTGGACAAGACCTTATTTGTGAAATATACTAAGTTTCATATACTTGTTGCTCAAATTTATGTTGATGATATTGTATTTGGATCCACTTCTGATTCTCTATATTTCACAAGATTGCATGACACATGAGTTTGAAATAAGCATGATGAGGGAATTATCTTTTTTCTTGGGTCTTCAAATTAAATAATCACCTTCGGGTATGTTTGTTTCTCAGACCAAGTATGCCAAAAATCTTGTGTCCAAGTTCAGTCTCGAGTCGGCCAAACATGCACGAACCCCCATGAGCACTACTCTTCACCTCTTCAAAGACTCCTCTTGCACTGATATTGATCCTACTCTTTATAGAAGCATGATAGAGAGTCTTCTGTGCCTCACAGCCAGTCAGCCTAACATTGTATTTAGTGTAGTTGTGTGTGCCCACTACCAAGCCTATCCTAAAGAGTCTCATCTTCTTGCTGTTAAATGCATCGTTAAGTATGTTAGTGGGACTTTGGGGTATGGGATTTGGTTCTCAACCGACACTACAGCTGATATCACTGGTTTTTCTAATGCCGACTGGGCAGGGTGTGCTGATGATCGGATAGGAAGAGCACATCCAGGGGGTGTTTTTACCTTGGGAATAATCTGGTTGCCTAGCATAGCAAAAAGCAAAATGTCATTTCTCTTTCGACCATCGAAGCTAAGTACATTGTTGTAAGGAGTTTTTGTGCACAAATGTTGTGGATGAAGCAAATGCTTCATGATTATGGTATAGACCAAGACACTCTCACCCTTTTCTGTGATAATACAAGTGCCATCAACATTTCTAAAAATCATGTCCAACACTCTCACACTAAACATATTGACATTCGTCATCATTTCATTCGAGAGTTAGTTGATGAGGGCCTTGTATTTCTTGATCATGTATCCATTGAGCATCAAAAAGCTGACATTTTTACAAAAGACATTGATCTTCATAGGTTTGAGTTCCTTAGAAAGACCTTGGGTGTAGTACTCGTTAACTAGAGTGTGACTTGCTACTTGAGTGTGTGAGAGTGATTGGCTTTCTGTGTACTTGGATGCTATAATCTTATTGCCATTGAATCTTATTATCTTTGCACATAGACTTAAATGAACACCTCTCATGCTGCTTACAAGATTTCATATATCCTTGTTTATAACTCATTTTGAATAAATATGCTTATTGAATTCATGATCTTATTCTGTACACATTCTTGAGGTAAACTATTGCAGGGGTTTTCGCATAAGTGATCAAATTTCTCTATGGACCTCTAACATTATCTCTTATACATTTCTAGAGGAATTGGCCGATACTGGCATATCATGGGTGATGTTGAGTCTCTTAACCATCCATCATCTTTTTTCACTTCCACGGTTTCTCCCTCACTTCTTTCAAGTCTGAGCATTAGGAAATGGCTACCTCAGAGGCACCAACTAGGCCATCATCATTGTTTCCATGCTTCTCTAGTTTGGTCTTCATACTCTTGAGTGTGCAAGCCAGCAATGAGTGCCCAAAAGAAAGCAAAGTCAAAAAATTAAACAAAAAAGGGACTCATTGATTGAGGGGGAGCCCCCACTTTTACTTAACAAATACCCCTTGAGTCCTAGTTGTTTGACTTTCCTCAATGATGTTTAGATTCTTTTGTCGGAGGTCTAGTTATCCGATCACTACAAGGATTAACTCTAGCTCTGTGGCCTCTCAAGGATTGCACACACATGCATTCATTTTGTGAGCTCTCGTGTTTGCCTTTGAGATATTTATTCATATGTTGTTTATGCTTATTGATCTATGTTTCCCTGTTTTGCTCATGATATCGTGCTTCATTTTGTCAAAATTGCCAAATTACGAGCTTCATGGCCTGTGGATTATTTCATATTAATGTCACATTATGGCTCGTCTACTAATCCCTACTTGTTTCAGAACATACTTATTAGTTGGAGTGTGTTTAATCTGCTCAATAGGGTTTTTTCTACCGCTCGAGCAATGGATCTTGCGCTCAAGCGGCCAATCCTTCAATCCAGTACTTTTGCAAGTGGTACAGATTCTGAGAGAGTGTTTTTTTGGCTCAAGCGATTGCGTCTTGGCTCGAGCAACCCCTGTGCTTAAGTGGTCTTCGCTCTAGAGATCATCTTCTCACTCAAATGCCCTGTCCTGGTATAAAACCTGCCCTCCTTCCTTTCAGTCCCACTTTTCACCCATTTTCTTCGATTGCATTCTCTCTCCTAGGGTGATTACCTCTCTATTGCTGCTCGTGCCTTGGATTTCACTGGATTTAGGTGATTCTCTCTTTATTCAAGCCTTTCCTTCTCTGATTTTGGTACATTTCTCTCTCTTCTCATCTATTTTTTTTTTTTGGACCCCTGTTCGTCATCTTCTTCTTTGTGCTACTTCAGATTGTATCTATGAACTCTAGGGTTTATTTTATTTTTTTTTCTTTGTTTTTCTTTTTTTCTTATTTATTAATTTATTTATTTTTGTGTTTGCCAGGTATTGTGCATCATTTCTCCACTGTGTGCTTGTAAGGATTTTGGCTTTGCTTACCTTGTCATCTCCCTATTATAGTGTTTATGCTTTATTTTGTGTCACATTCTACTTCATCATGTTTTGTTTGCATTCTATTTTTTACTTGCTTGTGATAGGATTTTGGATTTGGATTCTATTATTGCCCTAATGTGTGACGCCCACCTTTGTCCTAACCATGCTGCTATTCTCTTGCATTTAACTATTTTTGGACCCTAGATACTAACAATCTTTGATCTTTTGATTTGTATTTTGGGGGTTAAAATTGGGGCTTTGGGTTTATTTTGGTGGGTTTTCTTGGGGTTTTATTGTGGTGGTCTCTCCTGTGTCTGTCAGTCATGGTCGAGTCTTCCAAATGTCGTAAAACCACTGTGTCCCGTCCCACTTACAATATAGATAAATTCCAATCCAAGGACAAGTCCAATCTTTATAGGTATGTTTATGTGTCTTGGATTGTTCATTTAGAACAAAATATCTAACCTAGTACGTTCGAGTCCATCCCCATCCGATCTATCTTTGATGCTTTGGAGGGTGACCAAGTCCTTCATTTCTCCGGTCCACAAAACCTTAGTTGAGTTTGGGAATTTTATTGTAACATACATTCCATTAGAAAGATAGCCTCTTCCTTGCGTACTTGGGTTCACAATACATAGTTTTTCATTGATGAGGAGGTCATTAGGAGGTTTTTTAACCTTCCTGAAGTCCGGAACTGCCACTATCCATTTCTTGCTACCCGTAATATCGCTGACTTTGACATGGTCGCCACTTCAATATGTGGCACTCCCCGAACTTGGATAGCTGGGGCATTCATTCGGCAACATGAGCTTCTTTCCCATTTCTGCCTGCTTAATATTATTGTCTGTGCCAACATTCATGTCATAACTCATTCTTCCCACATTACCCAAGATCAGGGTTATGTTTTGTATTGCATTGACCATCGCCTCACCATCAACCTAAATGATCGTGGCCAAAATGATAGGCGTGTTTGAGGGTCAAAAATATTTGGGTCTCCCTTACAGGTGTTTGCTAAACTTGTTCCTTACTTCTCTAGGTGTCCCCATATTTGATGATAACGAGTTTGCCTCTTCTATTAAACCTGTCACCAAACTGACTGTCTCCTAAAGTCAAGCCCATGCCAAGGGGGGGTTGTCTGGGGCTGGGATTTTTGATGCAGGTGATGCTCCACTCACTGAGGAGGCCAAGATTAATACGGCAGATGCAGGTGCGACGGAGATATGTCCCTGACTCTTTCATGGCCAGCTTCGTTAGTTTGAGCAGTCCATCACACACTGCCTTGATCAGATGGATGCTCAGCTCAGCGCATTTGATGGACGCCTTGATTAGCAGACCACCATGCTTGCTCAAATCCTCTCTTTTGCAGATACAGCAACAGCCACCACTGTCCTCACAGTGATTTTTGATCTTCCCTCTTTTTCTCCTTTTTTTTTTTTTGGAACAGTTTTGTTTTTTGGACAAATTTTTTTTTTTTTAGTCTCCTTCTGGCCTGTATATTCCTTTTTGTTTACTCTTACCTTTGTCTTTCCCAGTCAAAAAGGGGGAGTATATCTTTAGTATTTGGTATATCTTTGGGATGGATATCTTTGGGATACTGGGTATGGATATGGTAAATCTTTGGGATAGTGGGTATGGATATTGGGTATGCATTAGACTAATCAAGTTTGGACTTTAACTTTTTATCTGGTTATCTTGATTTATTATGTAATCATGATTGATCCATCTATCTATTCCCAGGGCTTTGGATTATGTATTTTTGCTGGGTGTTTCTTCGAGGATGGTTGCATAAACATGATTGGTTTAGACTAGTTCTGTAGTGTTTGTGTTTGGTTAGTTGTTGGGTCTTGTGCGTGTGTTTGTTAGGAAAACTTGTTAGAATGTTTTATCCGGGAATTGACAAAGGAGGAGATTGTTAGGACCCTTAGTCTTGCCAATTCCGCGAACAAACATAGTATATCGAATTGTAAAGTTTCCTGAAAATTTGGCTTGCTCGCTCGAGCGAAGGAAGCCTAGCTTGAGCAAAGTAACTTTGGTCCCAATAGTTTTCACTGTCTGTGCAAAAATCCTGAGAAAGATTATTGTGCACTTGAGTGAACCTTTTGGTGGCTCGAGCGAAGACACTTAAGGAATACACGCGTATCAGTCTCATTGCTCGAGCGACAATTCTTGTGCTCAAGCGACCATCACGGCCCTGTTTGCTATAAAGCTGAGTTTTAGTTAGATTTTAGGGTACGACTTCCAGATCTTCTTTTAAGTGACTATGGTTTTGTTCTGCAGCATCTTTGCTAGTTTCTTTGATGTTTGTTTGAGTTTAACTCATGGTTTGATAAGTATACATCAAAGGGTTGCTTGATTGTTCAATACAAGAGTGTTCTTCTTCAGTGGATTCCGGAGATTCAAGCGTGGAGTCTTTGAAGGAGTTCGAAGCTGCTCGTGGTCGTTGATTCGACATCAAGCTAATCAATTTCGAGACGAAGGTGTTGGTGAAAGTGACACGGATTGTTGAAGACAAGTTTACAAAGGTTGAGTAAATTGGTTGGTAACTTGTATTCTTTCTTTCTTCTTAGTGGATTGATTAGTAGCGTTTTGCCTGTGATTTTTTATCACAATTGGAGGTGTTCCAACTGTGATTTTTTCCATGTAAAAATCGTTTGTATCGATTTATTATTTGTGAAATAACAATCTAAATCACTTTCGTACGTGTTTGATGATTTAGATTGTTAGTTTTGAATATTTAGGAATTGTTGCAATTAAATCTGTTACGAATCACGAATCACGTAGTTTTCAGTTTTTATTAAAAATATCCTAACATCTCATTCTTCTTTTGTTTTGATTTGTTCTTCTTTCTTCTTTCTTCTTTTTGTTTCAGTTCTCTCTTCAACTTGATCTTCATTTTTGGTTTCTTCTTCATCTTTTCTATATTTATTTCAAAATTTCTTCTCTTGCTTCCTTTTCTCCTCCTCATTCTCCTTGTTTCTTTTTGTTAATAATATCTTTTCTACTTCTTCTTCTTTAGTCTTTTAAGAATTGAATTTATTTGTAAGAATTGAACTAAGGAGAATGTGATGGAATTATTTTCTGAGCCTTGTTTCAGATACTAAGGATGAGTCTTTTAAAATTGAAAATATTTGTAAACTTATAAATAAATTTTATTCCAATAA